AGAGCAGCCCGGGCAGATCCCCTCTCACAGGAACCATCGCTGAGATTTTTCCACTGCCGTGCCTGTCCCCGCATCTGTAAACAATGCGGTTGACAGTGGTAAACATGTTTTTCTCGGGAGATGGCTGTTCCTGGAAGAGGTTTCCTGGCAGTGTTTGGGTGGCTCTGTGCTGCCAGGATTGCAGCACCTGCAGCCCCAGCCTGGGGAAGGTGTCGGGGTGTTGAGGTGGAGGGAGCTGATTTTTGGATTTTGTGGTGCATGAGGAGCCCTGCAGCCCCCGGAGGGTTTGGGAGCAGCACCAGGCGGTGGCAGTGGAGGAGGAGGTTGGAGAGGAGGGAGCTGGTTCCTCGCCAGCCTCATGCCAGGGCTAACAATAACCTCTGGAAACRTTTCCCGACACGGTTCTCACCAGGGCGGCCCAATTAGTGCCACAGCAGGAGCCCGGCTGGGGCAGGATCCGTCCCTTGGCTCCGGAGCCGATGGTGGGAACAAAATGTTCCCAGCAGGACGTGTGGGATGGGAAGAGTGGTGCTGGGCCAGGGCTGAGCCACCAGCACCTCACAGGGGCAGCCTCTGACCCAGCCCGGGGTTTTTTGGGGTTTGGATGGGGTTTGGATGGGGTTTGGATGGGGTTTGGCTCCCGTGCCAAGGGGGTCTCTGTGCTCCCCCACATCCCCCATCCCCGGGGGCAGCGGTGGCCGCGCTCCGTCCCCTCCTTGCTCCGTCCCCTCCTTGCTCCGTCCCCTCCTTGCTCCGTCCCCTCCTTGCTCCGTCCCCTCTTTGCTCCGTCCCCTCTTTGCTCCGTCCCCTCTTTGCTCCGTCCCCTCCGTGCTGGAGCAGCAGCTTTCCCAGACTTTGTTCTGGATGTTTATGGGGTTTCAGTTTACTCCCGGTTCTGAGGCAGCTAAGCTCCCTTCTCAGGGAGGAATAATCCCCCACGGCAGCCTGGCCTCGTGTGCTGGGGTGTTCGGTTCTGGGCCCCCTCTCCTCGTGGTGTGGGAGGGACTTTGGGAGCTCTGCTGGTCAGGGGCTCCCTCCCAGTCCCGAAAAATCTGGAGCAAATAAAATATTAACGGGCACTGACTGCATTTTATAGTTACCTAAATTTGGAGGTGGTGAAAAAACCCCGGTTGAGGGGAAAAGCCAAGAAATTTCCGTGCGCAGCCTCCGTCCCTCCCTCGCACAAAGCYGCTCTTTGTCTCCAGGTTAAATAGAAACCTGCAGAAAATTGCCGAGGTTTTTTTCCCCTCTCTCCTTGTCTGCCATTGTCCCGGCCGCTGCTCAGGCATCTCCTCTCAGGGCTGAGCCCTGCCGGGGGAGCAGCCCGGGGATTTTCATGGGGATTCGTGTCCTGGGGGTTTTGGGGCACCCTGAGCCCCCGAGATCCTTCCCCAGGGGTGCATCTGCACTCCAAAGCTGCGGGGGTTTGGCTGCACCCCCTCCCCGTGGGGCAGGGTCCCAGGGCTGCCCCATTTCCCCGGGATGCCCAGCTGGCCACAGGCTTAACCCCCCCGGCCATCTGTGGGGCCAGCGGGGCTTTGTTATCCCAGCCCGTGCAGGGGACAGGGGGGCTGGCTGGGGACCCTGAGGAGCCCAAAGGGGCTG